ATTGATATTACAGATTAGCATTATTAATGTGGAGAACACTCTGACTAATGAAAATACTCCACCCATATGTTACTGCCCTGGTGATGAACCTGTGGGAGTTCCATTTAGAAGCCATGCAAGCAGAGGTGGAACTGGGCGGTGAGCTCCTGTCAAGCAAGCAGCAGGGCTCAGTTCAGCCCTGTGCTTCTCAGGCCTCACTGTTGTCTGTGCTGACTCACGCCTGGTCTTGAGAGGGCCTTTCTGTTCTGTATCCTGACATCCTGCCTCTCTCTCCCCCTAGGCTCTCTTCTTCTCACAGGGTTGCCCTGGACTTCTCCTATGTGGACCTATTTAGTAATGGCACATTCCCTTCTCCACTTATTTTTCTAAATGTCATCAGCATTTTTTAAAAGTAAAGACCATTAATACCTAATATATTCATGCCAGCCCTCCTTTACTTCAGATTTCTATATCTGATCTTTCATTCTCCAGCTCATTTTTCCTTTTTATATAATTAATTGGTGTTACAAAAATGAGTCCAAAAACGACTGATAAAAAATCACATCAGGCTTGTTTCTTCTTTTCTGAATGTTCTGAAGAAAGGAATGCTGGTCTCCACAGCTGTTTCCTGACCACACGCCTGGATGTCCAAGTGCCTGGCCACACTTCCTATAATGAGGGTCTTGGGTGGACTCTCAGAAGTGTGTACTACCACTTACCTGGGTCAGGTGGCTGATGTCTCCCCTGCTCTCACTTCTGTGAAGTATTATTCACAATTCAGAACCATGTCGTATCCAAATGAAAATATGTCCTTTTTATTTAAAATAAGTCTATGAAGTGATTTCAGAAAGTATTATTTGAATTCTTATTTCTCAAGAAAATTCTGTGCAGAACATTCCCTCACTTTATAAAATGACATATCTGGTATTCAGAAATAGTGGTGACTTGAAGTAAAGGTGTGCATTGTGTCTTTTAAGGTCAGTTTATATATTTAGTTCTGTGTAATTTCCACTGTGGTTATATGAAATTTAAAAAGAAGCAAAACTTGTATGAACTAAATTGAATGCTATGTTAAGTGCATACTTGGTTTTTTGGTCATTAAAGGTAGTTCTGAGTAATTTTTAAGGTGTGTTTTATCTTTTCCCTTAATCAGGTTCTCATATATTAGGTTTATCCAAAGTAGCTTTTCTTTATTTACTTAGTAAGCATTATATGGATAAAATTTTTCGTGTTTTCTTTTCTCCTCTCCCTGTCTCCATTCCTTCCTTCCCTCCTTCCCTCCTTCTTTCCTTCAGGAAATCTAGAAAATCCAACCCTTAAATCAACTGCATAATGAAGGAGGCAGACAGAGCCCGCTAGAGGTGACATGATCAGTGGGCAAAAGCGGAAGCAGTGGCTGGGACCTCTTTAAGGTGTTTTTTTTTTGTTTGTTTGTTTCTGTTTTTAATGAATGGGAAAAGACACAGAATGGCAGCTGATGTTAAACTTACCATATTTGGAATTAGATCCCTAGGAGGTATAATTAATAGATATTTCTTAAATAATAATAATAATGTGGTTATAGAATTCCAATGTAATAGTGCAATGTATTGAAACATAACTAGGCGTGTGCGTTAGTGACTGCTGCGGTGAGACAAGCCTGCCTTTCTTTGTGCAGGAACCCAGCTCTCCCATTGCCCTAGAGGATAGTGTTCAGATAGGATAAGACAGTGCAAGTCATCGGACCTTGCCCTTGCTGGGTCATCACAGGGACAGGAGCTTGGGAATTAAGGAAGTTACTGCACCCTCTTACGGCTCTCCAAGCCAAGATGAAAGGACAAACTGAACAGCTGTCCATAGTTTTATCAGTTCCATGATTCCAGGACATCCCCAAATTTCAATTTGGCATTGAAAATTCTATAAAGACTTCTGATAACTTTGAGTTACAGATACCTTTAAAATAATAGATTGATGATTTCCTTTATTTCCTAGAATTTCTTTTATACATACTTTGTTTACTTTTTAGATTGTATTAGTCCTTACTTAATTTAAAATGATGAATCTGGTTTGAATCAGCTGTTATTCCAAGCTATCATGCTTAAGCTTTGTCAACAGCATTTATTTGTCCTATTATTTCCATCAGAGTTGCCTGTGGAACGTGTACCGTTCTTAAGTTTAAAACGTCAGTTCTTGAGATATACTGTATGAAGCTATTGTCAGCTTCTCTATTTCAAATGCAATCAGCATATAACTATATTATATTAGAAAATATTTGTTTTTTAAAATATATTGATGTATGATAAAGATGATCTAATTTGTGAATGCATATGCGTGTGTGGTTACTTTTTATAATGTGAAATGGATAATGAATTGACTCAAAATAAAACATAGGTTAATGAGGTACCTGTGTTTGTGAAAAAAGTTTTGAATACTTTCCTGCAATTTTTATTCTATCATTAAAGAGCAAGACAGTTCATTTTCAAGTAATGAATAGTAGAAGCACATCCATGTCAACTGTAAATTACTCAGGGGACAGTCATTCAGTGTGAGTCTTTTTCGTGCCATTTGTTTCCTTTCCTTCCACAAAGCCTCTTTTTGTCCATGTTTAGTGATGTGTTATGACCTGCATCAGAGGATAAAACAGAACTGTTTAACTGTTCATTTTATCAGCATAGTTCCAGTAAGTGTGAGAAATTTGACAATACTAATTAAAGGAATTCAGTATGGTTTTTGTGGATTTCATTTAACTATTTTAATTATGTCTCCTACTATCATCAATAATGTGGATTGAACATTTATGATCTAGAGACTTTGTGGTCATAATGGTACATATCAAGGCTGCATTGCTTTTTCCAGTACTTCAATTCAGTCACCTTGACTCGGTTACATTAAATAAAATGGATAATTTCAATTTACTTGTTAAAAAATAATTTAGGTGAGTTATTAGCTTTTTTTCCCCATCATGGATGTGGGAAAAGGGGAAAGTGAAGAGAAAAATCATCACTACTTGTAAAGTTTAAGAATGTAGAGAAATTAATTGCAGTCTTACTCCTAGGCATTAAATTCTGAGTTATAACAGTCAATCATGCAGGGTGTGGTGGCACAGACCTGTAATCCCAGTGGCTTGGGAAGCTGAGGCAGGAGGATTGTGAGTTCAAATTCAGCTTCAACAACTTAGGGAGGCCCTAAGCAACTTAGCAAGACACTGTCTCAAAATTTAAAAAAAAAGTTGGGATGGGGCTGGGGATGTGTCTCAATTGTTAAGAGCCCCTGGGTTCAATCCCTGGTACCAAATAAATAAAAACAGTCAGTCAATCACAATTACTTTTGGAAAAAATTTTTTTCATTAACATGATAACTTCTAAAGTTTTTGAAATTTTGTCACATTAATACTTAAAAGCACAGATTGTAGACACAATAAAAAATGTCGATAGTTATGAATATCCACACAGATCTCCACTGACACCAGAAACAAGACCAATATTCTTATAAAAGTTATGTTTAACAACTTACTAGGTAGATCCCATCACCAGGTGTAAAGAAAGCACTCTCTCCTCCTGTGGCCCTTGACAGTGACCCTTCCTGTACTGGCTCAGCCCTGTTTATTTCAGAGCATTATGCTCTCAAAGACCTTTTCTCATTTTCATCTCTTAAAAGTGAGAAATTTTCCTGAAATCTCTGCTATTTTTACAGATCATATTTTGACACAAATAAACCTAACTGAACATAAACAAGTCGCTTAGGAGTGGCTCTTGGAGTTAGTTAGCCATCTTTCTTTGTCTTTCTTCCTAGGCCCTGGAATTTCCTGGTCCTAAAGGAATGTCAGGACTTGGACTCCAGGAATTAATTAATGTTCATATTTGAGAATGATGAAGTCAGTCCTTAAAATGCCTCTTAATATTATCACCTATTCAGCTTTACTCTGATTTATATTAATAATTGAAAGAACTAACCAGTAATTTTAGGTATGTTTCAACATTATGTAGCAACAGATAGAAATTAATTAGGCATTTGTCAACACAGTTGACATTCCAAAATTAGTTAGCTCTGCGGTCATTCCTAGTTCCTTGTTTCTATGTCAGAAGATGACTGCTGGAGGAAGCTACAGGGATATTTTCTGTTTTCTTTTTTATTTAGAGGAATACTTTGATTTGAGCACGCCCTGACTATTTAGCAGGATCCCATCAGATGCTTTAGGTAGAGGGAAGGAGGAGTAGAAAGGCTTGTGACGGGATGCAGGAGAGGAGGCTTCTGGCTCGCCGGTTGCTGCACAGTGGCCTGGGACAGATCTTTCCCTTCCTGAGATACAGGTATGGCTTATTCACTAGGTGCAGAGGMACTGGGCCAAAGGCCCCCATGCTGAAAGGGCCCACAAAGATGCTTTACTTCTAGCAATAAGCAAGATATATGCTTTGATAAATGGTAAATATAATCCAGAATATGTTCATCTTCATACAAATGCAGTTATAAAGTATAATTTTAATATGTATGTATGAATACGTGTGGGGAGATATATGTACACACACACACACACACACACACACATTCTTATTTTTCCCCCTTTCTTATCAAGGGGCCCATGAAGGCAAAAATGCCTGGTGCCCATGAAAGTGACAATGTGACCGTGTTTGTGGATACCTGTTTCTTTGTGAAATGAAGGTGTTGTGCTGACTTATTTGTACCAGAAAGAAGTCCAGAGAGAAACAGGGCTCAAGGAGATTATGTACATGTGTTTCCCCTAAGGCTTTAATCTCAAAATAGTGTTGTGACTGTAACGACTGTTCTTAAAGTTCAGTGTGTGAGCAACAGAGAAAGGTAGATAGCCCCGGCTCTCCAACCCAGCACAGGTTGAAAACACTGGAAAAATTGCAGCAACATCTTAAAATGTTATCAATTTAATCCTTGTGTTCATCTGAGAACAGCCTGAAAAAGCTGAGGACAGAGGGAACACACACTGTGCCATCCAGTGCTGATGTCCCATGTGGGTTCAGATGCCTGATTGAGCACCTGCTGTCACACTGAGAGCTCATGCCGGTGGTGGGTCACAGGAAATTGGATTCACCACCCTGCAGAAATAGGAGCACCCTCGAGGTTTCCTTGTAGACCCTCAAATGGAATGGCCGGGGCACCTTGGTGACGGGAGGCAGGGAATACAGTGATTTCTGTCAGGGTTCCTGCCACCGCCTCAGTTCCTTTCTCATCATCTTCAATCACTGATTGAAAAAACCTAGCAAAGGGAATAGTGTGGAAGACCATTCATGTGGCAGTGGAGAGAGGGAATGAATTGAGCCCTTAAAATTCTTGATGGTGGTCCTACCCACTTGGCCACGCTCCTGGGATTCAGTGGTACAGGGCCCATCTATGTCAGGAGTCACAGTCTGGGGATATACCAGGGACTCCCTTAGAAACCTAAGAGGGGTTTTTCCAAGAGACCTCAGGAACCCAGTGTGATTGTGTAATATGTAAAATAAGTTCTGTGATTGGAGCCAGGGAACCTGACTGGCACATTTATGCATACGTATCTATTATTTGTGGAGCCCATATTCTGTGCTATTGATTCTTGTGTTGAACCAGTGCCCTTGGAAGGCTTTGAGCTGCCTGGGTCTCCTGCATCCTTTGACTTTCCCTGTGGCAGGGTAGGGACAGGGTGTGGTGAGTCTCTGGTGGGAGCTCCCTAGTGCCTGGTCCTGTTCTGGGGCACTCCCTGGGGCAAGCCCGAGGTCCTTGAAACCTTCCTAACTCTGCTTATACTCTGCCTGTTTATGAAAGTCTTTTGTCCAGGAACCTAATGGAATATGATTGATGTGTCTTTATAATTATTTTATCAACCTAATAATTCCTAGAAATTCTCTATTTTCTGGGGTGAAAGTTTACTCCCAAGAGCAAACGCAGGGTATTTAATAGTTTACAGTTTAAGCTTCATGGAGATGCCGTCCTTGTAAAATAGCACGTGTCTTCAATTTTCCTTGTGTTTCCAGCAGAATTGTCTAATTGTCTTGCCTTCCCTGGCATGCTAAGGCTTGATTACAGGCCAGAGTTTTCTACTGAGTCCTGCTAAGGTGGATTCAATTTTTCCTCCCTCTTGGAGTTGAAAGTTACAATTGTATGAGAAAATATGAGCCAACTCCACAGCCAAGGAAGAAGGTGACGAGATGTGGCCGCCACGTGGAGATGTGTGGGGGCATTTTCTTTGTCATAAGGATCATGGGGATAGGGGAGGGCAGAGGGGGCTACTGCTGTCCTCAGTGAACACAGGCCCGGAAGGCCACCCAGTCCCCAACATGGCACAGAACTGCTCTGGACCACAGGTGGTTCTGATTGTCCTCTGAACCAAGAGCACCTCCCCTGAGAAGCCAATTGGCTGAGGGCATTCTGTGGACTGACTAAACCTGTTCTTAGCAGTTTAGACCTAAAAGTCTGGCCCAAAAAATAGGAGTTAGGGAGAAGCTATAGGTGTGTGTGTGTGTGTGTGTGTGTGTGTGTATAATATATATATATATATATATGTATATTTTAAATAGCCATTTGTGGATCGGGCTGCTTCTCAAGGGAGGGATGAAATAAATCTCAGTCACAACACGAGACTGGCACCAGAGGGGTTTTCTAGAGGAGCTGTCCAAGGCAGGTGGGCGGCGGGGCCTTGTAAAGTCAGGGTTTCCTTCACCCTGAAGGGGGTGGGATTCCGTGGGCTCTTTGAGGATTCGACAGACTCGTGACTTTGCAAGCCAGTCCACTTCAGGGCTAGGTGGCTCCTCGAGCATCCAGAGGGGGACAGGGCTCTGCTGAAGAGATTGGAGGAACAATCCACCCTAGATGTATGCTTCCCACATTTTCCCCCCATTTCACTAAAGGGTGGGTTGATTCTTCTAGTTGCGAAGGCTAAAAGCTACAATCACCTTTGACTGACAGATCTCTTCCTTTCTCTCACTCCCATCCAGTCCACTCACAGATTTTGCCAACTCTTACTTCCTTAGGTAGATCCAGAATCCAACCGCTCCTTRTCACCACCACTGTCAACCCCACCATCCAAGCAGCAGCATCCATCGGGGTTTGACCTAACCTTGAACAGGTCTCCTGCTTTCATGCTCATCCTCCTGGTGTCTTCACCACGCAGGCCATTGCACCCCTGCCCAGACCCCCCAGGGCCCTTCCATCTCCTCAGACAAAGCCCAAGTCTTTTCTGGGGCTTTCTTGGTTAGGTGGCCAGGCTCCCTTCTGCTCCTCAGCTGAGTGGGCACACTGCCATCCCAGAACATTGKGCCCTTATGCACTTCTCCATCAAGATAGCCCACAACTCACCCTTTAGCTCAGATGTCGGCTTGCCACTTCCTTGGGCCTTTCCTGAGCCCCTCTCCCCTGCTGATGCTCCTGGTCATCTCCCTGCCCTGGAAAACAAACTCCTGGACCAGGGACTTGGCCTCTTTTCCTCCCTGCTGCATCCCTAGCACTGGGCAGGGATCACGGTAGGAGGAGCCCTGTGAGTACTTGCTGAGTAACTGGCTGGATGAGCCAGGCCTGCCATCCATCGATCAATGCTGGGGAAGAGTGGGAAAGAAAGAGACAGCTGCCCCTGCCCTTGGGAGCTCAGAGCTCAAGGGGCAGACGGCCGGAGCCACGGTGCCTGGGATGAAACCGTGGTGAGCATCACAAGGACAGATAGGCTGAGATTGTGCACGTTACCTATTCCTGAGCCATGTCTCCACCAGCTCTGTGGTCAGACCACCTTCCAGGGCCAGGTGGTCACCTGTGTTCCCCATGAGGACCACCAGCATGGTGGCGTTTCCTCAGTAGGGCAGTGGGAGGACATGGCAGTGAACCTTCTTATCAAAGGTGGAGGCAGACTTGCCTGCYCTGTACATCACCGGCACCTTGACTGCCTTGGACTTGTCCAGGTGGAAAGTGTCAGCTTTGGTGAAGGTGGGCCACATGCGGCCAGCCGCTTCCCTGAACGAGTAAGAAGAGATTGCGTGCAGAAAGCAGCCTCTGCCAAAGCAAGGTTCTCACAGAGGGAGGGCTCTGCTGCCTTCCGTCTAGCAAGGAGCCATCTCCCCTCATGAAGTTTGCCAGGGCCACAGCTCAAGCAGGCCAATGGATTACCCAGAGGCCTCAGCTCTTCTGGGCAAAATGCCCTCTACCCATAAGCCCAGCTGGAGTCACACACAGAAGCAAGGGAATGTCTCCTGGTCCCTGTTTCCCTTCTTTCTGGACCTGGACAAAACTCACTCTCAGTCCCTGGTTAGCTTAAGTCTGGAGAAGACTTGGGGCCTTTGCATGGCCCTGGCCACCATCTGTGCAGCACCCCCATAAAGTGACAGCATTTCTGGCCCACGCATTCCCAGTACAGGGGAAGCCCCAGCTCCCCTCTGCACAATCCTCTGTACCCGAGCCTGTCCTGGGTCGTGGCCTGGCTGGCTGCAAAGTGGCTTCCCCTCCTGGGGCTTCGCTCATCTCCTGGGCTGGCTCTTTGTTCCCGTGTGTCCATACCCTGTCCTATGCCCCCAGAGAACCTGGGATCAGGGTGTCAGAAGATCCTTGTTGTGCCTGGCCTGAGCATTTATGTGGACTGAGCAGGTTCGCCTCTCGGGCTCTGCTTTCAGCTCCTGCTCTGCCCTAYGCATCGGCAGCCAGGGAGACAAAGATTTCTAAAAGCCCATGTATATGTCGTGCCTCGCCTGTGCCAAGCACAGCTGGGCACTCACTCATTATCTCATGTGCCCTCGTGACATCAGAGCAGGTGGGAGTGTCCTTGTTTTTCTATAATCAAAATTGGAGGACAGAGGTTTTGTCACTTACTCCAGGTCACAAAAGCAGAGAAGGACGAAGAGAAAATACAACCCTAAATTTCTTGGGCACTGGGTAGAGGTGCTAGGAACACAGTAAGAAGTGGAGGCTGTGGGAAGACCAGGGAGCACCTGGACCTGTCTGGCACCGTCTGTCACTGCTCCAGCTGGCTGTGCAGCCGGAGAGCAGGTTCACAGGAGCTCCTCCAGCAAGAGCCACTCTCTGAGCAGGACAGGGGAGCAACAGACAGCTATGGGCACTTTGGCTTGGGAGAGCAGAACATGATCCAAGTCCCTCAGAACAAGATGTGATCCACAAGAATCAATTTGGTTTGATATTAATCTCATCAAATAGCTGGGGAACTTCCCCCTGAGGCTCTTTGTGTAATATTCATGATCCCCTGGGCCTGAGGGCACTGTGAAAATTCACAGGCATATGCTTTATCAAGGGACCTCTTGGGTGAATTGGGGAAGGTCTCTTTGCAATCAAAATCCTTGTGGATGAAAGCAAAACTCCCCTGGGCAAGGCCCAGCTCTGGTGGAGAGGGTCTCTCTGATCAGCTTAAAGAGGGAGGCAGGAGCAGGGGCGTGGTGTGGCTCAGGGCCTACAGGTGGAGGCTGCTTTCCACCTGGCTCTCTGCCCTCTGACCCCAGCATCAGGCCTACCATGGCCAAGGGGAGTAGACCGCATTGCCCTATCCCTCATGGGCATCTTTCACAGGAGGTTGAGCCCAAAGTTTGAAATCTCACCAGACAGCTGCTGGCTGGTCATCAGCTAGGCCCCCTCTGTCCCCAGCTCATCCTCCCCATCAGTAGGAGCCTGCACTCCCGCCACCCGAGTCTGGTTCTGAGGAGGCTGAGGCTCCATAGTATCCATCCCTGCGTGGGCTTCTGGTGACCCAGGACTAAGGGCCAGGCCAGGCACCAGCCTCATCTCCGCCAGGAGGACAGAGAGCAGGAGGCTTGGGGCCACCTCATGTGGTCAACTGTGGAGGCCAAGGACTGCTTCCCTTCCTCAGAAGACTCCCTGCATAGGAAAGGGGCAGGGATTGCTTTCATGCCCCAAGTAACATGCCCTGAGTGAGGGGTGACCATCCCTCCAGCAGCCCTGCCTCCTCTGGGAGGATCCCACAGGGGCTCAACTCTGGCTCAGGGAGTCCTGCCCCCGGGGAGTCCTGGAGCAGCCAGCGTGGCACCCATTCTCCAAGTAGGAAGCAACATGTTAGCGCAGAACCCCTCCTGCTCCCCTCCCCTGCGGGGCCCTCGGCCAGCTCCCATTCTCCAACTCCTTTTCCCTCTTCTTTCTCTTTCCTCCCCTTCTCCGGGGATAAGTGCCAGTATCAGAGCAGGGCCAGGTGCCATCAGGGGCCTCACAAACCCTTTACAGAATGGCTTCAGGCATGGCCTTCGATTGCTCAGCCATAAGGCAGCCAATGTACGCTGGGCCACGGGCCCTTGGGATGTGACACATTTGGCTGGGGATTTGGAGGGTCCGAGAGGCCATCGGGCAAGGAAAAGAGAAAGCCTGCCACGCTGGTTTTTGACACACATCCTCCTGTGCCTGCCCCCACCCTGCACAGTGCCCGTGGGTCTTCCCTGCTCCTCTAGCTGGACTCCCAGGATGGTGGGAGCTGGCACAGCCGGGGCTTTCAGCACTGGCCTGGGCTTAATCCCATCTCTCCCACAGCAGCCTGGGGTGTGCTGGCTTTGCTGCCCCAGTCTGGTACCTGTCCCCTACTACCACCTCTCCCAGGTCCCTCCGTGTACCTTGGCACACAGGATGGCTCCTGGGCTGTGCCCCTGTCTGTGACCACATGTTCTGGTTCCTGGAGTTTGGCCATACACCAGGCCTGGCTGCACAGGCCACCAAGAGACCCCTCTCCCTCACCCTTGCTCTGTTCTGGGTCCAGGAGGGCCTGGTGGGGCAGGACGTCCAGGCCAGTGGTGTGGGGTCTCACAGGCCTCTCGGCAGTTCCCTTCAGGGAGACCCTGGCTCTGGCCCAGGGTCCCTGTGTCAAGGGGGAATGCCGAGGCAAACCTCCCAGGCTGCCGCACCCGGAGCCAAGCCACGTCCAGCCCTGGGATTCCTCCTGCTGCCCCTCGCCCTGCTGACAGCACCACGGAATCAGGGCCCCCTGCTGCGGCCTGAGTGGTGCTCACACTCAGTGAAGTCTTCAGCCATGTTTTCCCAGGGTCATAATTCAGAAGTCCTCTCCAATCCCTAGTGGCAAACCCAGGATTGCAGGTCACACCGTCACTGTCACTGTTGGGTAAGTCCCTCCTTCCGTGYGCCAATCCCCCCATTCCAGGCCTTTACTGTGGTTATGAACTGAATATTTGTGCCCCTTCGAAATTCATAAGTTCAAGCCCTCACCCACACAACGATGGTGTGAGGAAGTGGGGCCTTGGGAGGTGACTAGGTTGAGATGAGGTCATGGTGGGGGTCCTGTGTTGGGATTAGTGTCCTCATGATAAGAGGACAAGAGCCAAGAACCTCCTCTCCCCATGAAGGACACAGCATGAAAGGTGAGCATCTGCAAACCAGGGAGAGGGTCCTTGCCTCAGTCCAACCGTGCTAGCACCCTGATCCTGGGCTCTGAGGCTCCAGGACTGAGACAAATATGGCTCAGGCCCCCAGCCCATGATATTTTGTTAGAGCCAGTCCCGACTAAGACAGCCGTGTGACAATATTCAGCTCTACTTTGTAGGTTAAGCCCTCGGCAGGACACTCTTGAATTTGGTCAGCTCTCTCATGGTTATCAGAAAGCTAAGCCAGCTCACCAGATAGATGTCACCCCTTCCAAATGCTAAGTGTCACCATACTGCTCCTGAAGCTCCCCCTTCTCCTGTGGGGTGAGAGTCCTTGACAGCAGGTGGCTCCTGCACCTGCTAATGGAACCGTCCCCCCTGTCATCTCAGGCCTCTGTTCCTCAGCCAAATGGTGAGGACCTATGTGCTGGGCCACTCCTTGGACTAGGAGCCGGCAAGCTCAGTGAGGACACACCTTCCCAGATAGCATCTGATGGTAGGAGACCCCTGGCACCTGCCACTCAGCCTGGGGCAGTTGCCTAGAGCTGCAGTGACCTCCACTCCCGACTCTGCCCCTGGGCCATTAGTCAGGGCCAATGAAAGGCCGAGGCTCACACCACTCCCCAGGCCCCCTTCCCCAGCCCCAGCCTGGATTCACAGTCCCTGTGGAGTCTAGGGTGAAGACTCTGCACTGCTTGGCCACTGACCCTTCACATTGGAGCCCACCCAGAGCTGACAAGGGCATCTCCCCTTCTCTCCCCTCGGGTTGGACTCTGAAGGTTTCTCTGTGGTCACTGCCTCATACCCACGAAGGGCCCCTGGTGCCAGGGAAGATCGTCCAGAGGAACTATGAAGGCTTAGGTGTTGTAGCCAAAGCCTTCAGTAAATATTTGCTATTCCAAAGTGTGATCCCCTGGGGGCTGTTACTGATTAACATTCTGCCCAGAGGTGGTGGGGCTTCTGGAAGCCACACTCCAGGCGGGGCTTCCCGCACTCCCAGTTCCAGTGGCGAAACATGTGGATTCACCTGGAACTTCTGCTTTTCAACTCAAGGCTTTGCCCTGACCCTGAGCTCTGCCTGGGCAGGGCCAGGGCCTTTCTGTTGAGTGCCTCTGGGGACAGAACACCTGGTGAGGGAGAAGACAATGGTGGCCTCCCCTGCTTCAGCCAGGGTGGGGCAGGTGCTCTCCCACCCCAAGGACCTGCCAATCCAGTGTGAGACAGACAGCTAGATCACAAAGCCTGTTTCAAGGTGAATTTACAACTCTCAGCATTGAAACTGGACAGGCCCTCAAGCCCTCAATGTCAAGGCTGGTGGAGACCCTTTAAGCCCAACTTCTCAGACCTACTGACTTCCTTTTTTATAATATAAATATTTGTTTATGTGCTCCTTACCACCCTTGAATCAAAATTTATAATTAATATGACCTACCCACAAATTAAAAAAAAAATAGTGTTCTAAGATGAAGGCAAAATACAATTATAAACCAGGCACAGTGGTGCACGCCTGTAATCCCAACAGCTCAGGAGGCTGATGCGGGGGAGGGGGGGGATCGCAAGTTCAAGGCCAGCCTGAGCAACTTTGTGAGGTTCTAAGCAACATGCATGCACACACAACACACACCCAATATATACATGAGTGCTCCTGTCCTGGACTATGTGCTGTTATTTTATTTATCTATCCTTTTCTTGTGTGCTTCTGGCCATTATTTATTTTTGTTTTCATTGGCAGCTTTTAGTTTTTGAATTATCTCAAAAGAATAGCACCGAGAACACCTACATCCCTCTCTCCAGATTCGCTTTTTCCTTCTTCTCTTTCCTTCTTTAGACATCTCTACGTTGCACATCAGCACATACACTCACATATGCTATCTTTTTTTAAAGGGCTAATGACATCCTTTATTCAAGTCACATAGAAAAGCACGTCCAATTAATGTAAAATGTTCATGCATGTAAGATGATCAGTCATTAGCAAATTTTAAAAGGCTTATATAGGCACACCAAATGTTTCAGTCAACTTTTTTTGTTGCTGAGACCAAAAGACCCAAAAAAACCCAATTTAGAGGAGGGAACGTTTACTTTGTGCTCACAGTTCCGAAGTCTCAGTCCATAGACAACCAGCTGCGTGGCTCTGAACCTGAGGTGAGGCAGAGCATCATGGCGGAGGGGTGTGACCTGACAATCAGGAAGCAGAGAGGAGGTTCCTCACAGGGGACAAAATATATCTCTACAGGAGTGTGGTGGCCCGCCTCTTTCAGCCACTCCCTAGCTGCCTGTAGTCACCACCCAGTTAGCCCCACTGGTGGGTTAGCACACTGACTAGTTGAAGGCTCTCCTAACCTGATCATTTCACCTCCTGTTGGAAATACCAGGGGTCCTGGGCCCCCCAGGAGCCGAAATAAACACTCAGCTCTGTCCGCAAGGATTTTACTTCTAGTGCAGAAGGGCGCCCAGCAATCAGAACCCAAAGCCAGCGGCTGAGCAGGTGGCCTTACGGCCTTTGTCCCCGCTGTGGGTCTTGGCCGGGGCCCAAGGGTCAGGTGGCCGCACAATCTTTGGCACTAGCAGCTCTGAGGAAAAGGGCACTTAGCGGCTGCTCCCTGGTCAGGCTGACTGCGCTGCCCCCAGAGGGCTATCTGAAGAGGCGTCCTTCAGCCGCCCAGCTCCTTTGCTGTCCCTAGCTGGGGAAGCCTCTTGGGTGGAATGCCTTTTGGCGCGGACACAATCCACTGAGGAGGGGGAGGCTGGAGGCAGAGACTCTAGAAAGGCAGGCAGCTGTGTCAGGCCATGGCAGGTGAGCGGCCAGGGGGAAATTGAGGTTGCTAGTTGGACAGAAACGGCCCGGGGGCTTGCTGGCCCTCTGAAGGGACACCCTCTCTGCACACAGGTCCAAAGAGCAGCCACCGTGACTCCACCCACTTGAAGGAGCTCAGTGTCTTTGCAGAAGTGTGCAGATCACACGGAAGCAAGTGATTTAAGGAGTCGGGTGAGTTGGCCAGCAACCGCCCCCGCCACCCCACAGCGCAGCTTCACSGGCCGCAGGACAGGGGCGCGCTCAGCCCAGGCGCCTGTGGATCAGCGACACCCAGACACCGCTCCCCACCTGCTCTGGCTCCAAACTCCCCAGGCAGAAACGAGAGGGACTGAGCTCCGCGCAGGCTGATCATGGGAATTGTGACACAGGTCAACACCCTCCGGCCACCCTCGGACCACACACTTAACTAGAGAGGCTCAGTTCAAAGTCTGTAAGACCTGAGAAGCTCATGTGTCCCTTTAGAGTGAAAACACAAATGAGGCCTTTCCAAGGCACCAACTTTGAGTTGTGTTTGCAGTGATGGTACTGAAAGGCTGCTCTGGATCTTTCTTTCTGTTGATTAATTCACGTTTCATTCCCTTTTGGGGGCACAAATGAAGTAGTTCATGAAGACTTAAGTGGCTATGAAGACCATACATCTCTGAGAATATCTTAAAGAAAGGTCACCAGACCATGTCAATGTTCATGGCAGCTCAATTCACAATAGCCAAATATGGAACCAACTCAGGTGCCCTTTAACAGATGAACTTATAAAGAAAATATGGTACATATATACAATGGAATATTAGTCAGCCATAAAGAAGAATGAAATGATGGCATTTGCCAGTAAATGGATGGAACTGGAGAATATCATGCTAAGTGAAATAAGCCAGTCCCAAAAAACCAAAGGCCAAATGTTCTTTCTGATCTGTAGATGCTGAGTCACAATGAGGGGGATAGGTGGGTGAAAGAAGAATAGAAATTCACTAGATTAGACAAAGAGGAATGAAGGGAAGGGAGGAGGGATGGGAATAGGAAAGACAGTGAAGTGAACTATACCTTTCCTATATGAATACATATACGAAGCTCCACATCATGTGGCTCCACAAAAATGGAAAGTTATTCCCCATGTCTGAATGATATGTCAAAATACTCTCTAGGGTCATGTGTATCTAAAAAGAACAAATAAAAAATACAGAAAGGAAGGTGACCTGAACCTTTGAGCTCTGAACAGCGGCTGGCAACTGCTAAACCTCACACCTGGGAAAGCTGCAGGGTGGCGATTTCCGGAGCTCCTGGGTGGGAGCTGGCTCGGTCTGGCCAGCCCTCATGCACTCGGTGGTCAGATGGAGAGAGGGAGAAAAGAGAAGTCCGTTCTCATTCACGTCCATCTTCTAGCTGATTCGCAGTTGTTGGCCTGTGGGGAGGGGTTGGCTTGGTTCTTTCTTCTAACTTCAGGTTTCTCCAGGTCGCTGCCTTCAGAGGTCTTTAACGACTCGTCACGTCGCAGTCACCAGGGCTCCAGCTGCCGCAGACTCCGACATCCCACGAGGGAAGGCAGGGCTTGGCCAGGGTGGGCAGCCGCCACCGGGGCTCTGCTGCACATTCTTGTCCAATCCCTTTCAAAAGAGCAAGCAGAGGTGACCCTCCTGGATAAACAGGAGCCCGATTTCTCACTCTGTCTTGAAGATGTTCCTCCCAAACTGTTGGGGACTGCAAATCAAGTCAAGATGGCGCCTGGCAGTTTGCCAGGAGGAGTGGTTTGTGAGGCAACGCCACTGAGCCATTWAGATGGTGGAGATTCCTTATTGGCTGACTGCTGTATCTGGATGATGCTAATTGAGTCAAGCTGTGTGTAATCAGTTAGGTATATATACTGCTGTTGTTCCAAAATAAAGCAGTTTCCGCTTCAACCTTCAAGTTGCTTGTCATCTCCTGGTTATTTTGCTCAGCCGGACTGCGGCACCAAAAGAATAATAAACCCAAATAGAACTGGCTGTTGTGTTAAATCCAAGCTTTGGCCACAGCTGGTGGAACAGCCCCACTTGGGGAGGTAAAGCATTCCGGTTGCTCCTCATTTCCCCTCCTACCTGTATGATCTTCTGGGGAATATTTATTACAAATTAAGAGAACCACGAACATCAGCAAGCTCCGATTTTCTGAGAAACTCCTGCCTTGATCACAGAGTTYTGTTCTCGGGGACCCTAAGCCGAAATGGACTAAGGAAAAGAAGTAGAAAGAGATGAAAGATGGTTCCAGAACAACCCAGTCCCAGTGTACGAGAATCAGCTCCAAGACCCGAGACGGGCAGGCAGATCCAGGATTGCACAGAGTGCCATTTATTGGCCACTTAATGACYGAAGTGTGGTTCTTGGGTGGCAGCGACACCGAGTGGGTTCCGMAAGTCGGGTCAGAAGGAGAGCTGTGCATCCTGGGTAGGACAAAAGTAGCTCTATCCCAGAYGGAAGGTAGCTGGTTTCTCTTAAGCTAATATCCGAGGTCTGGGCACATTGCTGGCGCCAGAGTTCAGTTGWAAAGCTCCACATACCTCTCTTGGTTTGATCTATTTATAGCACGCTGGGAAACTGTGCAGGAAGACTGGCAGGGACAAGGGTGGTGGTGTTATGGACCAGGCTATATGAGCAATGACCCAACAGACTCCATTTTGCCCTAGACTCCGGGTAATGTGAGAAATGCTTCTCCCATGGGAACACCCACTCTGTACCCATCAATAGGTGCTTAGCATAGATTGTTAGGGACACAAAATGGCAATTATTATRTGATGTAAAATTGTTCTCTCTTTGGTTCCCATTTTCCTTGGACAATGTACCCTGTCAGAGAGTGGCTATCYAGATGTTAGTAACCATTCTTTTACTTGTACTCAACTAGGGTCATTTTGACCCACTTCCCCTTCTGCTTATGATTTTGAGATCTCATGCTGTTTGTGGTCTTGAATCATAGCAACAGCCACTTATGACCAATGTACTGGCATGTTTTACTTATGGTATAAAAGGTGCACTCAAACCGCTGCAGGGGGTCAGAGGTGCAGACTTGCAGCCTGCCCCTGGTGAATCCAATCACCAGCTGGCGAGTAAAGATGGTTCGTCTTCTGCTTTAAGTTTGACTCAGTGATTTATTACAATCTTTGCCATAACTGTGGTTACGACTCAAGATGGCCACAGTCATGTCAGTTGAATCCACATAGACGTCATGAAGGGCCTCATCATTGTAGGGCACACATCACTTTGTTTATTACCCCACAATTTTTTTTTGGGGGGGAGTACTCCAGATTGAATCCAGGAGAGCTTTACCACTGAGCTACATCCCTGRTCCTATTTATATATTTATTTTTGAGAGAGGGTCTCACTAAGTTGCCCAGGCTCATCTCGAACCTGAGATCCTCCTGCCTCAGCCTCCTGAACTGCTGGGATTACAGGTGTGCACCACCACTCCTAGCCACCTCACACATTTTCCCAACAATTTCCATTTTGTATTTGTCATGTTTAACATATGTCCACTCAACTTTGGTACASGTGAATATAGGTGTATTTATCAGCATTATCAATACAGACTCATGGACTCTTAATTTTTTTTAACAYATAACTGTTCTTAATATATCTGTATCTCTATCTCTATATTTTTATTGAGATATTAAAATTACCCTAGATATAATATGACAGAAATGGACTAGAAACCATGAGTTTATAGCTTTAATTCATACCAACCCTGCAGGGGGCTTCGTTGCTTCTCTCTTCCATACTGCTGTCCCCTTCTCTGCTCAGGTCTATGAGAAACATAAATAACATCGTGTCTGCTACACKCGTTGCATGAAAAGCAAATCTGAAAGGAGGGCACCAAGATCTGCCTGCAGGGTCTTACTCTTGGGGATGAATGGTCCCAGTCCTGCACTTAGATAATGAGACTCTTTCCTCCTCCTCCTCCTCCTTCTTCTTTAAATTTGTTCTTTTTAGTTATACATGATAGTAGAATGCATTTTAAAATATTATACAGACCTGTTTGAGTTTCTCTTTTTATTCTGTTTCAGGACTTTTATTGTCTTGTTAATTTAACTGCGCTTTTTAATATATTGAATATCAACATTATTCCAAAAGTGTACATTGCATCAATAGATCCACAGGAGAAGTGCCGTTCCCTCCCCACTGCGTCCTCTCTGGTCTAGTCCCCTTCCCCAGTCCGCTTTAGGGAATCATTTAATGACTTTCTGGTTTATTTTTCCTGTATTTCTTTATGTAAAGAGTAAATATTCATGATTTCTTTTTCTTCCAAACAGTTTGTAGATATCCTCCTTGGTTTGCTTGTTTGTTTTCACAGCTACGTGGTACTCCCATTGAACTAATTTCCTATGTTTGGGCTTCTAAGAATTTCCCATTATTTTGTAATTACAAAGAATGCTCCAATTAATAACTTTGTACATATTATTTTAAAAATTGTCAGTGGTGTGTCTTTAGGCTAACAATTCTTAGAAGTGGGATTTCTGGATGGAAGGTGAATATATCTGTATTAAAAAAAAATACATTGGGCTTAACAGTGGCCCCCAAAAGATATCCTGAGAACTAACACTGGGGACCTGTGAATGTGACCTTATTTAGAAAAAAGGCCTTTGTAGGTGCAAATAAGTTAAGGGTCACAAGATGAGATCGTCTTGGACTTAGGGAGGGGAGGGCCTTCTCTAAAGACAGGTGTTCTCCGCAGAGGTAGGCAGAGGGAGCTTGGAAGTACAGAGGGATTCTGGGGAAACCTTGTGAAGACAGAGGCAGAGTCGGGAGTGATGGGCCCACCAGCCCAGGAGCACTGAGGACCGCCGACAGCACCCAGGGGCTAGCCCGAGACTGGGTCACATGCTCTCAGAGCCTTGGCAGGATCAAACTGGGCAACACCTGGCCCGAGGACTCTGCCCTCCAGAACGGGGCATGGATTTATTTCTGCTGTTGGAAGCTGCTCCCGCTGGTGGTAATTTGTTTCTTCAGGTCTTAGGAAACACATGCCCAATCCCCTCCCACAGGGCCTTCTGCCTCCTCCAGCTGTGCATGGGAAGGGCAGTGTCTATGCAGTTGATGGGGGTGGGGGGCTTGGGGGGTGGTCATCCAGCTCCCACACCTTTGCCAACTCAGCAGAGAGGAAACAGTATTTTAGCATAGTTTTAGTATGTGTTTTTTAAATTTTAAGTGAAGTTGAACATATTTTTCATGTTTAATCAGTGTATCTATGTATGTCTGCTCCTGTATTTTGTTTGTTTTTATGTAAGATTTAAAAATTCTTGTCCTTGCCAGTTGCAGTGGCACATGCCTGTAATCCCAGCGGCTCTGGAGGCTGAGACAGGAGGATCTCGAGTTCAAAGCCAGCCTCAACAATGGCAAGGCACTAAGCAGCTCAGTGAGACCCTGTCTCTAAATAAAATACAAAATASGGCTGGGGATGTGGCTCAGGGGTTGAGAGTCCCTGAGTTTGACCCCCCAGTACAAAAAAAAATTGTCCTTAATTTTGAAAGACATTCCTTATGTATTTGTTATATTAGTTCCTATGGATGATACAATTTACAATTTGTAAACATTTCTTTGACGTTTCCATTTGTCTTGGGACTTGCTTATGCAATTCTCTTCTGTAGTCAAGTTTATCAGCTTCTAATTTCTTGTGGATCTAAAGGTGAGGTTAGATAGCCTTGTCCTCCTCCTAAAGGATGAGGAATTTACCCACGTTGCCTCCTGGCACAAGGAATGGTTTGGATTTTACCTTTTTCTGTTTTCTCCAATGGCCATCCAGCTGTCCCAATATTACTTTTTTAAAAGCCTTTCTTTCTCAAATTCAAAGTTTCCATTTGTACCTGGGACTATTTCCAGACTTTCTCACCTATTTCGCTGGTCTGCCTATCTATCTATTCATGTACCAGTACCCTGGTTTAATTAAGGAATCTGTGTCATATGCCATGGTATCTGTCAAGACGGGCCTCTCTCTCCCCACGGTCCACCCCTATGGCTTTTCCAGTGTTTTCCTGGCTATTCTTGTGTGTTTACTTTTCTATGTAGATTTTAGAATCATCTTGTCTAACTTCAAGAAAAAGCATTTTTTTTTTAAGGTACTGGGGTTGGAACCCAGAGCCTCATGCATGCTAGGCAAGTGCTGTACCACAGAGCTACCTCCCAGCCCAATTGTTGGCATTTTTATTGAAACCCTAACAAACTGACAAATTAGATTAGGGAAAGCCGATATGCAGATGATGTTGAATAATCTTATTCCATGTTTGTGAAATAAAAAATAAAAATAAAATAAAAAATAAAACAAAAAAGTAGTTCGAGACTACTTTTTTAAAGAGTGTTTTATAATTTTCTCAGTGTAGATCTTGCCCATTTCTTGTGACATTTATTCCTACGTGTTGTGTCTCTGTTGCTGTCAGGGTTTCTCTTTCTAACTGGCTATTATTTGTGCATGTTAATTCTATCCTGATATCTCACTGCATTCTTTTAGTGTTTGAGTTTGTGCTGTTGATTTGTATATTCATCTTTCTATGCAGACTTGAGTGTCTAGTTAGTTATGCAGGTATATTGCCATGCCCTATGCAAAGAGAGAGAGAGTTGTGTTTTGTTTTTCCCAATTCTTATGTCTCTGCTTTTGTGCAATTGAATTGTTTAATAAATACCCACAGTACAATGTGAGATGGTACTGGGTATAATGAATAGTTTTGTCTTAATTTTAACTTTGGTGAGAATACATTTAGTATTTTTTTATTTAAGTAAGATACCAGGGTGTCTGTGTGTGTGTGTGTGTGTGTGTGTGTGTGTGTGTGTATGTGTGTGTGCCCATTAGATATCTGTATAAATATGTGTATTTAAGGAAGTATCTTTCAGCCATTATTTCTCAAGGTGCATGCTATATTCTTTTTATCATTTCTGTGTCTATGTATCTATCTATCTATCTATCTATCTATCTATCTATCTATCTATCTATCTATCTATCTATCTCTTTACCAATCACCTAGTTTTTTGTCTTATTTAATATTTTTGGCCTTGACCAGAAACGTGAAGACTATTTCTCTTGCAATGTCTCTCTAGCGCCTTCTACTGACAAAGCTTGACACCATGCTCAATTTGTGCTCAATTTATAAAGAAAGAACAGCTGGAAACCTGCAGACTGATTTCTGCAGAGCAATGGTGATGGGAACATTTGCAGCTGAGAAGCAATAAACCAATAATGAGCAAAAACACATATATTGTTATTTTTGCTTTAAGTGGTTAAATATATTTCAAATAYATTTTTGAAATATTTTATATATTTTTCCACATATTTATCCTTTTATTCTTTTGTGTTGGTCCAGGTTTCCAAATAGAATCATGTTTCTGTCGGAAGAACTGATTTTAAAACTTTTTTTCATGAAGGCCCCACATTTTCTCTTGAAAAAAAATGTTAGTCTTCATTTTTGAAGGATCATTTTTTTAATATATTATGACATTTTTTTCCCCTTCAGAACTTTAAAGATGCCTTTTCATGGTGTTATGACTTGCTTGCTTTCTTGTTTTTTTTAAAACTTTGTATTTAGAAATAACTATAGACTCATAAAAATTTGCAAAAATAATAGTGTCTCCACTGTACAATGATCAAACCAGGAAATTACAGGAATACTATATTGTATTGACATTGCTCAGTTTCCCCCACTGTCCCACCAGTGTCCTCTCTCCAGTCCTGAGTCAACACGGGAGCACCTGTAGTATTTGACTCTCAGGCCCTCTTATTCTCTGTCCATCTGGGCCAGAAACTCTGGGTTGTTTTTTTCTCTACCTAGGTCCTTTGGGAGAGTACTGGCTRTATATTTTATAGAATGTCCTCCAATTGTACTTTTCTGATATTTTCTCCTGGCCACTTCAGGCTTCATGTCCCAGGAAGGACCATAGAAGTAAGTGTACCTCTCAGGGCGGTGCCTCCCTCCAGCCTCTGACAAGATCTCTGATGAGAAATCAAGACTCGTCTTTATCTTTGTGTTCTGGATGCAATGTGTCTTTTTTGTTTGTTTGTTTTCTGGTTGGTTTAATTTTTTTTCTCTTGATCCTTGGTTTTAAGCAATTTGATTATGCGGTACCTCGGCTGGTATTTTGTGCTCCTTCTGCTTTGGGTTTGTTGAATTTCTTGGGCCTGTGTATTTACACCTTTCATCAAATCTGGGGAAAAAATGTTGCCATTATTTTTTCAAATGTTTTGCTCCCCTGTGCCTGTCCTTCCCTGGGGTTCCGATTTCAGGTACTGACGTGATGTTGAAGGGTCAGGTTGTGCATGGTCTCACTTGTGCTTCTACTGAGTCTATGGAAGGCTGGGGGGATGCATAAAACGTGCATGTTTGTGCAGCCATCAGTCTCCCAGAGCCAAACACAACTTCATTTCAATGTTTTAAAAATAATAATTGACTTGTCAGAGAAATAAGCTCTTTCAATGTTTTTGTCAATTTGTAATTTTCCTTTTAAATCTGATTATGTTTATTTTTTCCTTTATATTATAACTAGAGCACATATGAACTGTACAAACACAGTGGGCTTCATTGTGACATTTTCATACCTGCTCATAATGTACTTTGATACTTTGACCATATTCTCTATGATCTTTTTTTTTTAAAAAAAAAAAACATCTCTTTTCTGTGATTCCCTTTCCCTTCCATAATAGTCCACCTTCAAGTTTCATGTAGTCTTTGTTTTTCCCCCTAGATTTCACAAATTAGAGAAAACATGTAATGCAGTTTTTCTGAGTCTGGCTTAATTTACTTAATTACTTAAACTCTAGTTGCTTTAATTTTTCCTGTGAATGGCATGATTTTTTTCTTTATGGCTGAATAATACTCCATTGTGTATATACACCACATTGTCTTTATTCTTTCATACATTGGGGGGGTATCTAAGCTAATCCTATAACTTGGCTCTTATTTTGGAGAAAATTCTATATGCTAATGAAAAAAATATGTATTCTGCCATTGTTAGAAGAAATACTCTGTAGATGTCTGTCACGTTTGTAAGCAAAAATGGTTTTGGTACCATAATGAAAGCACAAATAATGGGGACGAGAGCAGACTTCGTGGATCAGCAGCAGAGTCAGGCATCAAAAGGGCTCACTTTCTTTATAGATAATGGCTATGGGTTACAGGAGGTGTCTGGGTTTTTATAGGTTACGCTGAGAGGTGACTTGATCACTCCAACAGAATGTGTTAATTTGGGCATTCAGGAAAAAGGTTGTAAAAATTTGAAACTTGTTTTTACTGGACAAGGATGGAGGGTCCTTTGCTCAGCACCCAGAGCTTACCTTTTCCCTTTGGGTCCATTGTACTGTCACTGGGAAAGGATTAACATTTGGCTTCTTCCTCTGGTGTCTATTGTCACTGGGAAAGAATTTAATGTTCCAGGGACTGTCATTGTTGGATTGATGTTTGCCTCTTTTTCAGGGATTGTCTTTTCACTGGGAAAGGATTTATTGGGGGAAGGGTCAGTGTTTTGCCTTCTTCCTCTTTTCCTCTTCCCGGGTCACACAGTCTTGGGGGACTGTCATTTCCCATATCCTTCAAAGTTGGTCCGACCTGTAGTGTAATTTAACTCTATGTTGCTCTGCTGATTGCTTTAATCTGAAGGTGTGTCTGTTGGTGAGAATGGAGTACTCAACTCACCCCCTGTTGCTGTATTGAGGCTTATCTCCTACTGTAAGTCCTATAGTGATTGTTTTATAAAATTGGATGCTCTGATGCTTAGTGCATGTGTGTGTGTGAGTGTAAATATATTTACAATCATTATATTTCTTGTTGTATTGCTTCCTTTATCAATATGTTGTGATCCTATTTGTCTCTTATGACTGAGTTTGGTTTGAAGTCTCTTGTCAGACATGAACATGGTTAATCCTGCTTGATTTGGGGTTCCATTGGATTGGAATACCATTCTCCATCCTTTCACTATCATTCTATATTTGCCTTTTCTGGTAAGAGGAGTTTCTTTAGACAGCAAGGAGTTGGATTTTGTTTTTAGATCCAATTAGCTAGACTGTCTTTTAATTAAAGAATTCAGACTGTTTACATTCAAGGTTATTTTTGAAAGATATGTACTAGTTCCTGTCATTTTGCTGTATTTTTCTGATTATTTTGAAGGATCTATGTTTGTTTCTTTCTCCCTTATTTATCTTTTCCATTTTTCATCTTCACTGAATTAATCATGTTTGATTCTTTACTTTTTTTATTCTTTACTTTTGCTCATGGGTTCCTCTAGTAATACTTACCTTTTCCCTCCTGTGTTCTCATGAGTGTGTTTGTCTTGTTTCCTCTTCTAGGGTAGGAATCCTTTGAGTATTTTCAGCAATTCTGACTTAGCAGTCATGAGTTCCTTCAGTTTCTGTGTATCTTGGATGCTCTTTAATTCACCTTTGATGACTTTGCTGATTAGTAGTCTAGGTTGGCAGTTACTTTCTTTCAAGGATTGAATGGGATTAGCGCACTCATCGGAGACCCCAGGCTGCCCAAATGGACTGAGACCTCAGGCCTGGGGGTTGCATACACTCCTTCATAAGGGTATCACTTCTGTTGCCTCCCCTCTCAAACACACTTGTCCTGAGAGTTGCAATGACAGCTATTTATTACAAGATGCTAAAAGTAGGAATAACTGTGGTTGGGTGGAGGAGAAACTGGAGAAGACAGGGGAAATCTCCCACTCCCCCCAAAGTCAGGTGGTCCTGTGGCTCCCAGGTCAATGCTCTCAGGTTGGATTCACCACCTTGCCCAGGAACAGGCTGCTCCATGTGAAGTGGTCGAAGACCATGATAAGGAAGGGCCGGTTGAAGCTTATGGTGAGTGGCTCGGACTCCAGCTCCAGGGTGCCCTTGGTGGCAGCTGGCTTCACACCCTCCTCGTCCAGTTGCAGCATGGCCTTATGAATCACCTGTTAAGAATGCACCCAAGTGCCTACTGTGTGTTAGGCACTTACACACCCCATCACTGTTAGTTCTTGTTTCCTTTGCTTTGTGGAAGGTGAAACTGAGACTCTGAAGGGGTCACTTGCTGGATCCTCATGTAAGTGGCAGCTCCAGGACTAGAGTTCCTGGGCTTGGGCCCAACTATGCTTCCTCCCTAGGAGGGGTGCCAACCAAGCTGTCACATAGCCTGGTGTAGCTGGGCTTCTGTGTCCATATCAGGTGTTCCTTACCAGTCCCAGGCTGGGGGAGGAAGACCTCACTCTCTGTCCACCTTGCTAGGTAAACACCAGGTGGAAGTTACATGAAGCACTGGTACCTACCCTGTGGGCAAAGCTCAGGCAGAAGCTAAAATGTCAATCTTTGATTGTTGATATGCTCCTTGTGATCAAAATTAGGAGGAATTCTGAAATCCATAAAATGTTTGATGAGCTTACACTGAAAGCCTTTGACAGATCATAATCTGGTAAGTCAAACAGCAAGTAATATTTAATGCACGCAACAGCCTCTGGGAAGGGAGCTCTAATCCAGTCTGCTTTCCAGCAAGGACTCCAGCTAGGAAGAGGCTGAGCTGGGATTGGGATCCCTGCAGTGGGTCTGGAGAATAGATTTTTGAGTTGACAAAGCTAAGGTCAAATGTCAGACCATGATTTACTGGCTCTGTGACTGTGGCAAGTCTTCACCCTCCCTGTGTTAGATACTCTGAGAACTTGGGAGGGAGGGCATGCCCAGAGCTGCATGGACTGCACCCTTCCCCCAGCATGCACTGTCCTGAGCAGTTACACTGTGGTCACAAAGCCCTGTGCTCTGAGGGCAGGAGCCGTGTCTGAGTGAAGAAGTCATCCCCAGAGCCTCGCACAGTGTGGAGCACATAGTAAATGTTCAAAAAAAAAAAAAATCTGAACCAATGAATGAATACAGACCATCAAGTGTAAGGATAATGAATATACCCAGATAGAAGGCTCAATGTGACCCCAATTAGACATCACACTCCCTGTTTCTTTTTGCTGCTCAGAGTTCTGCCATGACGACTTAGTTTCCCAGTGTCCTCTCTGTGTGATCTGGTGGGAGGGGTAGGCTTGCGGGTTGTGGCTCTCCCCTGTCACCAGCTTCCTGTGAGGTCTTGGGATGGTTGTGTTTTCCTGCCATGGATGGAAGCGCCTGGACCAGACCTGTAGTTCTCAGCCTGGGACCTAAAGGCCCGTCGATGAACAGGCTCAGTGTGACTCATTGCTATTATTTTTATTGCAAAATTTGGAGGGAAAAACGCAGCTTCCTGAGACACTTACCTTTGATACCTTCAGCTGCTCTGCATGGCTGATGCCTGAGAAGTTTGCCCGGTTGGTGAACATGTCTTTAATACCCATGTCTTCCAGCACGCCCCTGAGGTCATAGGTGCCAGAGATGGAGACTTTGGGGATGTACAGGTGCACCTGGCTGGTCGGGGTAAGCAGATGAGGTTAGATGTTCCAGGGCTCAGCCTCTGGAGATAGCCTCACAACCTCCCCCACCAAGATGCTACTTCCTCATGGGATTCCTCCGGCCCCTGCGTCCCACTCTGACCTGCTCACTGGGGCCAGGGGAAAGGACAGGAAAAGAGCAAGCCCTGCCTCATCTTCTCCCACATGTGCAGCCTCTCCTTTGGCCTCTGAACTGCTCGGTCCTGTCTATGGCCATTCCACCTTGAACATGCTTGATCTCATCTGACCTGCGCAGTCCTCTCCTTGTCAAGATTCCTTTGAGCTGATTCCACCTGTGATACAGCTGGACCACTGGCCATTGAAGACAATGGCCCCTTGAGATGTCCTTTTGGTCCCTAAAGAACACCCTGCTAGATACAGGGAGTTGAGGAAGCACCCACCTGGAGCTGCRGCTGTGCTACTAATACTGTGTGACTTTAGCCAGGTCCTGCTAGGGTCCTCATCTACCTATGGTGAGCAGATGTCCCACTGGGTCCCTGGGTGCTGAAACTCTGAGATTCTGCAAGAACTGGACGATGGTGCTGGTGTGGAGAAGCTAGGTGCAAAGGTGCTGGATGCACTGGGGCGGGAGGGGCCTGGGACTGAGCTGGGCATCTGTACTCTGTCATATCAAGGCTTAGTCCTTCCTGTTCTCTAGAGGGAGAGAAGATGCCCAAGGCCTGAAGCCAGGTGGGTCAGCAAAAGCACACCTGCTCCCTAGCAGGTGCAGGGGAGGTGCCGTCCCTCTGTTCTCTGAGCAAAAGCAGCCCTGGAGGCCTGAGGACAGGCCACCAGCCAGTGTGATGTTTGAGCTGCCCTGTTCAAAAGGAGTTGAGGATGAATCTGAGACGACTGGGACAAGTGACTTTCCCCAAGGACGGGAAACACCGGTGAAACACACCCACATCTGGTCTGGGCAGGTGACCTTCCCTCTCAACTCTTCATCCACCTGAAACCCCAGGAAGCTGCAAGCCACACCTTCAATTCCAAATTGAGACCGAAACCCAGAGAGGTCCCCCTGCCCTGGGGGATTCCCCCCAAAGCTACACAATTGGTAGCAGCAGAGCCCGGAAGAAACCAGGAACATCCTGGTGCTTCTGCCTCCTCTGGTGAGGGCAGCTCTCCGAGGGCACCTGGGAGGCCCCAGGGCTCCAGGAGTGATGAGTTTTCACAAGGACATTTCTTTTGGTGGAAAGGGAAAGATTACCTTCACCTCATTTTCAACAGAATAGGATCCGAAATTTATTGTTTTCATCATGGTGTATTCTCAGCACCGGGTGCAATATCTAAATTACCGGTGAGAGACAGAAGGGACCCATTGGGGGTTCTCCCGACCACTGCTCGCCAGCATGCACACCCTTGTCCTCTGCTACTTATTCCTTTGTTACCTACTGTGGTCTCACTTTCTTATTTACTGACTGATTGATTGGCAGGGTGATTGATTGATTGAAGAAAGGTTAGATCCCCTGAGTGACCTAAGAACCGTCCATGACGGATACAGAGATGACAAAAGAGATAAGTGGGGGCCTGGGTGGTTGGTGAGCTCACTTTAAGAAATTGATGCAAAAAACCTCACTTTGTGGAATTCCCCAAAGTACCTAAGTGCTGATTGATAGATGGAAAATGTCACAGACTGTGGGGACCCAGCAGACAGGAAAATGGGGAGCCCTGGAGGGTGAGTCCGGGGAACAAGGATGACCGAATGCACCCCTTTCTGCCTGGGAACGTGGGCACTGCAGACACCCACGTGCTGGTGGAGGGCTTACCTCCTGGCCAGGGACATGGACCATCTCTCCATCATGTCCCTGCTCAGTGCGGCAGTGACTGTGTCCATCTGCCCCAGATCAGGAAGGACGAAGAAGATGGTCTGGTTGCCCGAGTGGTCCAGCTGCACCACCTGGCAGGGGAGCTCCGGGTCGAGAAGGTGCTTGACGGAGCTCGACTGGAACATCATGGGCACCTTCACGGTGGTCGTCTCATTCACATAGAAGTTCTTCTCCACGGTTCTCTCCGGGTTGGAGGGCTGTGTCCATGTGCCTGGGAAGAGGTGGGAGAGTGCACGCGGGCTAGGCCTGTGGGGCAGGGAGGAAGTGCAGCCCCAGAGCACCAGGTGTGCCCCACACCAGCCTCAAAGGCGCCTGTCACGTGCCTGGGTTGGCCCCACTCCAGCTGCCAGAAGGTTCTCAAAGATGTGGTCATTCCCAGAGGTTTAAAGCCTGTTTCAACCTCTTTCCCTTGAAATGGGTGGAGGATGAACTCTGAAATTGGCTTCCAAACAAGAGGCTTCTTCTGGGTCTTAAACTTGGGGGTAGGACCAGAGTGGGTCCCTGCTCCGAGAGTTCTGGAAGTGGTGCCAGAATTCAAGTCTTTGACTCAAGATGGGGAYGAAGGGGCTGATTTGGGAAAATAGACCATCCATTCCATCCCGCCCTGATAGCCTGGCCAGTCCATGTAGGAGGCTTCTGCCACTGCCCCCTGGCTCCTCACTCCAGACATTTCTGGATACATAGCCAGCGTGAGAAGACTCGTGGGGTCACAGATTTCCTCCCTCCCCCCAGTTGGACCTTGGGTCCCCTCTACTATGATGTCCCCATCTAGACTGCTTTTCCCCTCAGAATGGGGGACCCACTACCCTCACAGATGGGGCTTTGCAGATCTGGTCAGCTCTGGCAGGAAGACGGTTGGTGCTCAGGCTGAGCCAAAGCCTGCCTGACCGCAGAGGCTCCCTGTGAGCCTCTCCAGACTTTCTGAACTTATTCCCAAACCCTGAGTTTTCTTGCAGGATGTTTAAAGTCACAGGTTAAATCTCCCCAGGACCTCTTGGCTTTAGTTGGGGATCCACAAGTCAGGTAAGCACCGAGGACCTGAGCTCAGCAGGTCCCAGGTGACCTGTGAGGACCACTACTTCCAGCTGAGGCTGTTTCAAGGTGGCCAGAGCACAGCTCCAGCCAGACCCTTCTCCGTCCCTCGACAGACCTTGGATTGCATGGCCAAACTTCATGGTTTTGGGTGGAGACAATGGAGAGAGGGTGGGGAACGTGAGGAAGCCATCGGTGGGCACAGCCTAGAGACCCTGGGACCATGCCTGGTCCATCCTGAATGCCCTCTCTAAGCTCTGGGACTGCAGACACCGATTCAGGGTAAACTCTTCATCTAATCCTCTCAGGGTAAGTGAGATTACTTGAGGTTCTCAAACCAGCCTCCAAAGGAAGCCCGAGGGCCTTGGATCTGGAAAGCGAGTTGAATACTGAACTTACCGGTTCCATTTGTTCCTCTCACATGTTTCACCTGCGTTTCTTTGACTACGACTGCGTCAGTGAAACTGGGCCATGGGGGTCCCAGTTACATGTTATAAAAAGACGATTGCTAAAACAAGTCCCGGACAAACTGGTTACAAGAGGCTAAGGGTTTTTGAAGGAAGGGGAGGCTTCCCAGAAGAGGTGACTTTTTTAGCTAAGACCTGAAGGGTGGGAAGATGTGTTAGGCTGTCAGATAAATTGAGGAAGGGCCCACAAGAGCCATGGGTTTTGGTGCAGATAGAATATGACTCCCCCCTATAAGCCCACATCCTAATCCCTAGAGCCTACGAATATGCTAGGTCTCACGTCCAACAGAATAAGGTTGCAGATGGAATTAGAGCTGCTCATCAGCTGTTCTCGAGAGGAGAGATCGCAAGGGCAAGAAGTCGATTTTATTCTCAGTCATAATGTGTCCGAATGCTCTAATCACAGAAATCAGCTGGGCATGCTGGAGGGGACACATTACTAAAGCCACGAACTCTAGGGTTTCCCTGTGGAAGTCTGTTACTTCAGCAGGCCTGGCGAGGGCTCTGGAGTCTGATCTTAACAAGTCTCCCTGGAGATTTTTATGAATAGCAGGTTGGAAGACCCAGCTCTGAACTGGTGGGGATGGAGGTGTGGCCCAGGTGGGCCTTGTCAGAGCTGGCTGAGAGCTCTGTGTGGGCAGGATGGCTCTGGGAGCATCAGGGGACCTGAGGGAAGCCTGTGTCTGCAAGGCTCAGGGGTTTCCAGCCCAGGGGGTGCCTCACTACCAGGGCTCTGCCCAGACATTGGGGTAGCCACTCTGTCCCCAGTTACAGTCTGGGCTTGAACCAGCCTCCTGGAATCTGGGCAAATCACTCCGCTTTTCTGTCACTTTGATTTTTGCCAAATGATATAATCCCATCTTCCCAGCCACCTGCGGTGAAGATGGAGACCCAGGTGTGAACTTGGGAATTCAAAGGCTCTGCCCCAAAGTGGATTTTGATGGCTGCTGCTGTTCTTGGCCCTGGATATAGGGTTTGTCAGAGGGGATGAGGAGGCGGTACCTTTGGAGAAGATGTAGCTGACCAGGGTGGGGATGGCCGGGCTGTCCGGGTCTAAGAACATGTCTGCCGTTTTCCCCGGGGTCTTATTCTTGATGTACTCGTTGATCTGTCTGTTGGTCCCAGCCCACTTCTGGAAATCCACAGACAAGGCCTCTGACCCATAGTAGTGTTTGATATCTTCCAAGAACGAGTTGAGCAGCTCCAGGCTGTGGTCAAGGAACAAGGTGCTGCCCATAGTGATTTCCAAGCCGGTGTCTGACTCCCGGAGGAGGTGCTGGAGGTGCCGGAAGCTCTGGTGTATTTCACCTTCAGATGTCTCTGTGAGGTTGAAGCCCAGGCCCTGCAGAAGCTGGGCCCGTGTGTGGCCACCAGCACCCAGGGACAGCATAGCTAGGGCTATGGAGACGCTCACTGGGGAGATGAAGGTGTTCCTGTCAGGAGCCAAGGCCACCAGGTGCTTATACAGGCTAAAGGCAAAATCAGCATTGATTGGAGCCAGGTCCCGGTGAGGGCTTTTCGTGCTTATAGCAGCATTGGAGTCCTCAGCCTGGATGGTCCAGAGGCCACTGGTGGACAGCCAGAGAAGGCAGGTATACAGGGCAAGTGACATTGTTCAGTATGGCCAGGATCTGCCAAATCAAGAATGCTTGTTAGATGTCATGATGGCCTCTGGGTCAGCAGACCATGGTGCCATAGGAGGCAGACTAAAGAGGCACTTGACCACTGAGTTACATCCCCAAGGCTTTAATTTTTTTTTTAAATTTTGAGAGATCTTGCTAAGTAGTTGAGGCTGGCCTCAAACTTGTGATCCTCCTTCTTAGACTCCTGAGTCACTGGAATTACAGGTGTGTACCACCACACTCACTTGGGCTTCAGTTTTCTTATTTGAAGACATGAGTTATATTCACTGTGATTGATCAAGGGCTAGTAGGTTCCCACCACTGATTTAGGTATTTTGCTTATATTCTCCCATCTGACCTTCACCCAAACACTCATGAAGTAAACATTATTAACCTGATTTTAGGCAGCTGGAAGCAGATGCTCAGAAAGGTTAAATATCCATCTAGCTGATATATTCAAAGTGCTGAAAGAAAAACAAAACAAAAACTGTCAACAAAGAATTCTGTATCTGCAGAACTATCCTTTAGAAATTAGGACAAAATTGATGCTGGGGTTGTGGCTCAGTGGTAGAGTGCTCGCCTAGCATGTGCGAGACCCTGGGTTCAATCCTCAGCACCACATAAAAATAAATAAAATAAAGGTATTATGTTCAACTACTACTAAAAATATATTTAAAAAAATAAATTAGGACAAAATTAAAGCATTCCTTGAGAAAGCTGAGAAAGCTCATTACCACATACCTGCCTTGCAAGAAATGTAGAAAAGTTACTGGAATGTAACTTGAAACTGGATGGGGAAATAAAGATCTCTGGTAAAAGTAAATAGCAGGGCAATTATTCGTTAGTATTATCATAATACTAGGCTTATGCATAAAAACAACAATTAGTCTGTTTTTGAGTACACAATGCATAAAGATAATTTGTGGCATTAATATCAGAGAGAGGGGTCAAAAGTATGAAGAAGGCAAGTTTTGTATATTATTTAAGTTAAGCTGTTATAGATTCAAATTAGAGTGTTATAATTTTGGACATTAATGGAAATTCCCATGGTAACAAAGAAAACATCTAAAGAATATGAACAGAAAGGGGAAAAGAATTAAAATGTTTCACTTCAAAAATCAACTAAGCCCAAAAGAAGACAGTAACATAGAAGACAAGAAGCAAACCAAAAAAAGCTATAAGGCATATAGAAAACAAATAGCAAAATGTCAGAAGTAAATTCTTCCTTTTCAGTATTACTTCAGTAATTAAGATTAAGTGTAAATGGATCAAAATCTACAGTCAAAAGACAGAGATTGAAAGGATGGATATAATGGTTAATTTTATGTGTCAGGTTGACTGGGTCTTTGTCCGTTCAGGCTGCTCCCAGGTCTGGAGGCTGGAGAGCCCAGGGTCAAGGTGCCTGCAGATCCACAGTCTGGGAGGACTAGCTCTTTGCTTCATAGGAGGTGCTGTATTTCTGCTTCCTCACATGGTGGAAAGAGTGACGAGTCCCCTCAGCTTTTTTTTTTTCTAAGGGCATTAGTACCATTCATGAGGATGAACTCCTCATGACCTGATCATCTTCCAAAGACCTCACCTTATTGCACTGCTGCAGTTGAAATTAGCTTTCAACACAGGAATTTGGTCAGGCACAAATACTCAGGCCATAGCAGCTGATAGAACATTTCTGGGTGTGTCTGTGAAAGTACTTCCAGGAGTTTGAGTCAGTAGATTGAGTGAGAAAATCCAACTTCATCAATGTGGGTATGTATCATTCAGTTGAGAAGCCAAAATGAAAGGGTGATGGAGGGAAATTCTCTCTGTCCTTGAGCTGAATCATCCATTTTCTCTTGCCCTTAGGCATGGGAGCTCCTGGTTCTTAGATCTTTGGACTCTGGGAGTTATACCAGCAGCCCCCTGTCCATTCTTGAGCCTTCAACTTAATGCTGGGAGTTACAGAATTGGCTCCCTTGATTGTCAGAACATCAGATTCAAAACTGAATTATACCACACACTTTCCAAGGTCTCTGGCATGCAGAATGTGGGACTCTCGGTCTCCACAATCACATGAGCCAGCTCTCATCGTATCCTCCCCTCCACCCCACACATCAGAAAGTGAGGAAAGAAAGAAGACATAAAGATGGAACATCTCTTATGTTGATGGACTGGAAGGCAACACCGTTAAGTGACACTACTCTCCAAAGCAACCCCTGAATTCAATGCAGTCCCCCTCAATCCCAATGATACGGTTTGCAGGGATAGAAAAATCCATCCTTTAATTCATATGGAATCTCAAGGGGCCCTGCATAGACAAAATGATCTTGAAAGAGAACCACAAAATTGAGGGTTTCATGTTTCCCCAGATTTGGTTTCTGACCTAAATGGCAGCAGAGTTCTTGATTTCCTTGGGTCACGTGACAGATCAAGCTGGATTAGGGTCCCAGGGCTGCTGTTTCTGAGCTAGGTGATGTGGGGTGGGCTAGTTAGGCTCTGCCTGTTTTCTCAGCATGAAACAGAGTCGATGGCAACTCTCCCTTCAGCCTTGCCTGAGTTTATGCTTTTGTCTTCTCTTCTCCAGTCCCAGTGAGTGGCCCAAGGTGGCCGCTCAGCTTCTCTCCCTCTCTAATCTCCCCGATCTGCCTCCTGATCAGCCCCTTCCAACCCCTTCTCCCCTCTTCAGTCAAATGCCTCTTGCTAAAGCTTTCAGTAACTCCCTGTTGCCCACAGATGAGGCTGGTCTCACTGACGTGGCCCAGGGGCTCCCTGGGACTGTCCCTAGCCCTAGATATGTGCCCTTAATGTCTTAGGTGGGTATCAGGGGCTTCTCCTGATACCCACCAGGCTTCTGTCCGGCTGCAGGACTGGGGAAGGCAGGGCAGGGCAGGGCAGGGCAGGTCATCTCAGTGCCCCAGTGCTTGCTGAACCCTGCTCTGGAAGGAGAACTGGAGATGAACATGGACCTGTCCCAACCCTGCCCCATGTGGCCCCACTCCAGGTCCCAGCCTCCCTGCTGTCTGTCTCTCTCCTTCTCAGTCTTAGAGACTCGGTGGTGCTGGGCTGCTGCCTCCAGGAAGCCCTCCCCGCCCCCCGTGCTCTCTGTCCTCGCCTCTGTGTCACATAGAGGGGAGCCTTTGCTTCGGCACCGGTCACTGCTCTCCCGTCTGCGACCCCCTTGGGAGAGGATCCTGGGCGGCACTGGTTTTCCCTGTCTCTGGGGAGACTGTGGGCCTGACCCCTCCTGTAAGAATTCTCCAAGGTGGGGATCAAAATTCTCCCCATCTCTCCAGATGGGTGAGAGAACCAGTCACAGCCCCCAGCAGTGCTTGGCCTAGGTGACCTCACTTCATGGTTTGTCCTGGACCCATTTACAGATGGGAAACAGGCCAAGGAGGCAGAGCGACCCGTGCAGGCCTGGGGTCTAAGCCCAGGTGCCTGACATTCTCTACAGAGAGCCAGAGGACAACAAAACAGCTCCCCAGAGTACCCAGCCATATAAAAGGGCAGAGGACCGACATTAGCCATGCCTGCATCTTAGGAATGTCCTCCTGGTCTTCATCGCCAGTGTAAAGAGCCACCGTGTTCCCTGCTTTCACAAACGGGCTCCTGGGTCAGGCACAGGTCTAGGTGGGTCTCCTCACGGGTGGGTTAATGCAGAGTTAACGCAGATGTTCCCGGGTCACTGAGGGAGGACTGGGGAGGGGGTGTGGGACTCTGTAGAATGCCCCTGACTGTGCCGGCCACGCACCCCTCCCTGGCTCCCTCCCAGGCTGGCATCTCCCACCAGGGCTCTGCCTGGCACTTAGCCATCCCCATCCCCAGACCCCCATCTCTTCTGCAGCCAGGTGTGGGAGCCTCAGCTGGGATGGGTGGGGATGCAGCTTAGCACAGCTTCAGCGACAGCCCCCTGCAAGGCAAGTGCCCAGGGATGTTAAGAGCCCCGTGGGCAACCCACAGACCTGGGAGCTGGGAAGTTCTCCCCGGGGCTGCCTATTACCATTGCTGGCTGCCCTAGTGTTCAATGCCCTGTTGAAAAAAAARTCAAAACAAGCAAGCAAACTGCAAACATTGCTTAGTGCTAGAGGAGGGCCGGGGCAGGAGGATGGGGCGTTCTGGGCAGTCACTCACAGTTGGCTCTGGGCTCGGGCTGTGCTTGCTCGCTCGCGCCTGCCGCTGGGGACCCCAGCACGTGTACAGTAAGCTGATGGGAAGCTGCCCGCTCGGTCCTCTAAATCTTGTTTGCCAGTTTCCCTGCTGGTTAATGGTTAGAGGGGGGACAGTGGCCTTTACCATTCGGTGGTCCCCACCCCCCAGTCGTTAGCCAATGGGAGGCTGTTCAAGAAATTTAAGTAAACACAGCAATGTACAAATCAACTTTCTTCTGAAGTTTTATTTTTTAATATCAAAATGTGTCTGGGGTTTCGACAGTGTTTGTGGTCACCCTGTGGCAGCTGGCAGAGAAGTCACAGTGCCCTTAATAAAGATCCAAGCCACGGATACCTGGAAAACCCGACATGCGGCTGCAGCTGGGGATAAAGCAGGGGAGCCCTGTCCTCCAGGGGGCCTCAGTTTGGTGGGAGAGACAGACGTGTGACATCTCCAAGGGCCCCCGCGGGTGACCTCTCTTGATATTCACAGAGCTCCTGTGAATGAAGTGCTGTTGTCATCCTTCTTCAGATGGGGAAAATGAGGTGCATGGAGGTGAGGTGATCTGCCTGCAGATTCAAATCTAACACCCCCATTCAACCCACAAGTCTAGCTCTGTCTCCCTGACCCACACTTGTATCCATTAGTTTGATTGCAGGGGACAGACATCAAACTCAAATTATTTGAAAGAAAGAGAGAATGTTGATTGGGTTTTATGAATAAGAGTCCCCCAAGTGGAAAGAACTTCAGGCATGGCTGGATCCAGGGGTCCCAAATTCCTCATTAGAGGTCTCCCTTTCTTTTCTTTGTCTGTTTTTGGAACTGGGGATTTAACTCACTTTACCACTGAGCTGTATCCTCTGCCATTTATTTATCTATTTGTTTGTTTATATATATTTTTTTATTCAGAGACAGGGTGTCACTAAGTTGTTTAGAGCCTAAGTTGCTGAGGCTGGCCTCCAACTTGTGATCTTTGTCTCAGCCTCCCAAGTCGATGGGATTGCAGCTGTGCACTACCATACTGGGCTCTCTTCCTTTCTTGTTTTAGATTCTTAGTTGGGCTGTCTTCTACTTTCCTACTTTATTGTCTACAGTAGGAACAAAGGTGGCCACAGTGTCTCTGGATTATTTGGTTCTAACTGGTTGTTTGTTTGCAGAAGGAGAGAAATTCTCATTTTCTTAGCTCATGTAAGTCCCACAGAGTACTCCGGGCATGATTTCCCATCCTGGGACTAATCATGAGGTCCAGAAGGATGGAGTATTGTGAGTGTCCAGCCAGAGTCCCGTGCCATAGTCCCTGTTCCCCAACATATCTGCCCCCTATTCCTTCTCTATCTGTCCGTATGTCACACCCTCCTCAAGAGATGGAGTCTGTTCTTCTCTCTTTACAAATCTTGGCATGTCCTAGCAACTTTTTTGATCAATAAAATGTGGGATACTAGACACAGTGGCCTATAATCCCATTGACTTGGGAGGCTGAGGCAGAAAGATCACAAGTCTGAGGCCAGCCTCAGCTACTTAGCAAGGTCCTAAGGAACTTAGTGAGACCCTGGCTCAAAATAAAAAATGAAAAGAGCTGGGGATGTGACTCAGTGGTAAAGCACCCCTGGGTTCAAATCCCAGTACTCCCTCCACCCCAAAATGTGGAAGGAGTGATGTTTTGGGATTTGCAAGGATAATTAATAAGAATCTTGAAGCTTCTGATTTGGTCTCTTGAAACTCTTTCTTTTGATCCCAGGTGACCCATGTAATGGTTCTGTTAGAAGGACTATGTGGGGACACCATGAGACAACATGAAGAGGGAGAGGAGAGCAGCTGAGTCTTACCTTCCAGGTTCCTGCCAGCGTGCCACAGAGGAGTGAAGTCATCTTGGAGAAGTCAGACCCCACAGCCCCACTGAGTACTTTTGAGTGGTCCCAGTTGATATCATGTGGTCTAGAAGAATCACTCAGTACCAAATTCCTGACCTAAAAATTATGAGTAATAGCAAAATTGTTCTTGAAGCCACTGAAGTTTGGAATCATTGTTACATAGCAACAGATAACCAAAATAAAATTTTTAGGTTGTATAGTTTGCGAGTTCTTCAAAATAATTAAACAGATTTATGCATCTAACAAAAGAGTGTGAGAGATATAATTGCTTCACAGTCTTGCTAATGATTAATGCTGCCATATTTTCAATTTAGCCATTTTGGTGTGTAGTAGTATCACATGAAAGTTTCAGATTGTGTTTATTTGATGACGAATGAGATTGGTTACCTTTTACTGWTTTCCCTTGTCCATTGGAGGTGTTCTTTAACAACGCTTTTCCAGATAGAGGTATAGGCATCACTCATGAAAGGGGAACATTCTGCGAAATATGTTGTTAGTGACTTCATTGTTTTGTGAACATAAGAGTATGACTAATGCAAATGTAGGTAGCTGTGATGTCCTAGGCAATACAATCTCATGGGACCACTATTGTATATATGATCTACCATTGACCAAAATGGTGTTATGAATATTATTGTGTACGTGAGAATGTATGTGGAAAGCAAAATACCTTCTCTAAGTTTGTGGCTTATCTTTTCACTCTCTCACTGGAATATTTTGATAAAAATAGTTCATCGCTTCAGTGAAGTCTAATTCATCCATTTTTCTTTTATAATTAATGCTACTTTTGTCCTATTTAAGAAATATTTGCCTACTTTAATATTGAGAAGGATTCTCTTATATTTTCTTTTAAAGACATTATAGATTTAAATTTCAACTTACCTAGACTTGATTTTTAAATATGGTGTGAAGTAGAGTTAAAATATATCTCTCTCCAAATGTATGTTGGCACCATTTAATGAAAATAGAAATTGTGTTTTTTGAAAATGTCACTATCGGACTGTGGATGTAGCTCAGTTGATAATGCTTCCCTTGCATGCACGAGGCCCTGGGTTCAATCCCCAGCACCACACACACACACACACACATACACACACACACACACACACCACGTCACTATCTGATTCCTGGCTTCCGTGAGCTGAGCAGCTTTATTTCTCATGCCTTTCCACCATGTTCTGCCTCGCCTTGGGCCCAGAACAATGGAGTTGGTTGACCATGGACTGAACCTCTGAAACTATGAGCCCAAAGTAAACTTTTTCTCCCCTAAGTTGTTCTTGATAGATATTTTGGGCACATCAATGAAAAACTGACCAACACAGAAATTGGTTCTAAAACACGGGTTTGTAGCTATGACAATACCTGACCATGTGGTTCAAAAGACTTTAGTACAGGTTTGCAGGAAGAGTTTAGAACAATTTGGAGATGCAGGTTAGAGAAGCCTTAGTGCTACATGCAGAGCTTAATGGGAGATTCTGGTGTAAGCTCAGAAGACCAGAATGCTGATTTGAATGTGGACAGTAAAGACTGGGGAATGGGGACTTTGTTGGAAATTGAACAAGTGGTCATTTGTGATACATTCTGGCAAAGAACTTGTCTACATTTTGTCCATGTTCTGAGACGACTTTGTTGAGGCCAAGTTTAAAGGTAATGGATTAATCTGGTAAAGACAAATTCAAGGCAGAATAGCACTCAGGCAATGGCATGGATGTAGCTATCAGCTTTTAGACAGATTTACTGTGGCAATTGGGAGCAGAAAGCAGAAAAGAAAGATTTTAAAAACTCAAAGTTTGATCAGAAAAATGCATGTAAAACTGGGGCTAGGGATGTTGTTGCTAAAGAGATTACCACCATTAAAGAGAAGCTAAGCATTTTGCCCAGAGACAATAGGAAATTTGCCTTGAAGGAATCTCTAGACTAAGTAAGATCATACCATTGCAKGCTCAAGGGTGTAAATGTGAAAATTCATTTGAGGAGAGACAATGGGGATACCCTGCTTGTGCAGAGGTGCCCAGGAGGTTGTTTTCCAATATTTGTCTCATGATGCTTAGCTTCCTGGGCACTCAGAGGCTGTTGCAGCTATGGTCCAAGGTAGTATGTCTAGTGTTCAGTTTGGTGGCTGACCTTGACATTGTTCACAGGACACTGGTTCTGCAGGAATGCAGGATGCTGGAGTTATGGGGTTATGGAAGCTCTCTCCAATATTCCAAAGGAAGGCCTAGAAGGTCAGGTAGTGTGCATGCGGCCCCTGAGGGAGCAATGCATGAAGCTGAGAATGAAGCCAAAGCTGGAATGGAGACCACAGATCTTAAGAGATGCCAGGAAGGTGGGACATCTGCTGAAGAAAGCTGCAGCAGGGGAGTAGAGCCAGGCCCAGAGAGGCCATGTGGGATGCAGCTGGAAAGGCCATCAGACCAGGGCTGCGTATCCCCTTTGGGGACTGCATTTCACCATGTTTTGCAGATGCTTGGTGTGATTCTACTGCATTTGTTTGCCCACCTGGGTTTTAGTCTTGTTTTAGTCCTACCCCTTCTATCTCTGTCCATATTCCACCCTTTTGAAACGGGAATGTTTACTCTTTGCCATTGTATATTGGATGTATGTAACTGGCTTTTAATTTTTACAGGGGTTCACAGCCAAGGGTTTGTCTTGAGTCTCAAATGATACTTTGGACTTAGACTTGAGCAATAGTGGGATTGTTAAGACTATGGTGATTCTTGGAGATGGAATGCCTTTTGTGTTGTAAGATGGGCATGTGTTTTTGGGGACCAGGGTGGAATGCTATGGTTTGGATGTGAGGTGTTCCCCCAAAAGCTCATGTGTTAGATAATGAAAAAATTTTCAGAAGATAAATGATTAGATTATGAGAAGTGTAACCTCATCAGTGGATTAATCCATTTTATGGATTTATTATTTGAATGGACTTCTGGGTGGTAACTGTAGGCATACCTGGAAGAAGTGGGTCACTGGGAGCATGCCCTGGGGGATTATATCTTGAATATGGCTTCTCTCTCTCTCTCTCTCTCTCTCTCTCTCTCTCTCTCTCTCTCTCTCTCTCTCTTCCTGGCGTCCATGAACTGAGCAGAGATCCTCTACCATGCCCTTCTGCCATAATGTTCTGCCCACCTTTGGCCCAGATCAATGGAGTCAGCTGACCATGGACTAAATCTC